GTAGCTGGGATTATAGGCATGACCCACCATGCCCAGCTAAATTTTGTATTTTGAGCAGAGATGAGGTTTTACCATGTTGGCCAGGCTGGTTTTGAACTCCTGACCTCAAGTGATCTACCCACCTCGACCTCCCAAAGTGCTGGGATTACAGGCGTGAGTGAGCCACAGAGCACAGCCTATTTTTAATGTTTTAAAAAATAAATAAAAATTTGTCAAATGCTATGATACCTAATGTAAATGCTAAATGGTCTGGTTCTTTGTAAAGTAACATTAAGTAATAGAAGATTGTCAAATCAAGCAACCACTGATAGCAAAATTAGTATCATTCAACATTTTTTAAGAACTGTAAAAATAGTTAATAATTAATATCTGTTTTGACGAGGCAAAAATCTAGTGTGTTGCAATAATTAGTAGGCTTCCTTTATTAAAGCATAAAGTTTTATACTTTTTTTTTTTTAACTTGCTTTTAAATATAACTGAATATTCTGGAATTACGGTTTCGGAAAAACCTGTTATGCTTTAAGGTTAAATGTCTTATATGTTATGATATGGAGCAGGATTTAAAAACATTTATAAAGGGATATGTTGACCATGATTCATGCCTGTAATCCCAGCACTTTGGGAGGCTGAAGCAGGAGAATTGCTTGAGCCCAGGAGTTTGAGACCAGCCTGGGCAACAAAGTGAGATTTCATCTCTATGAAAATATATATATTTTTAAATTTATATTTGAAAAATTTCAAAGGGGTATGTTATAATTGTCTCATTCTTTAATATCCAATTCAGTATTTTTTCCTAAAATAGTGGTTGAGGCCGGGCGTGGTGGCTCACACCTGTAATACAAGCACGTTGGAGGCCAAGGTGGGTGGATCACCTGAGGTCAGGAGTTCAAGACCAGCTTGACCAACATGGTGAAACCCCATCTTGAAAAAATAAATAAATAAAAGTTAAAAAGAAATAGTGGTTGAAATAAAACTAGAATTTCTGTATTTTATTATACTATGCTTAATGTACATTTTTGTATTGTTAGAAAAGTTTTATTAAATATAGTCATTTATAGCAACTTATACATGCTCATGCTTTTTGTTTGCTAGAAACTATTGAACCATTATGTATTTTTTTAAGAGAAGAAGTCGAAATACAGTCTACCTCTTCATAAACTTTTTTAGGCATAAAAATTTTTAGGCATAAAATTTTTTAGATTCATCTTAAATATTTCTCTTTGCTTAGCCTATTTTTCTTTATCACCACTCCCTTCATATTTGTTGATAGAAACAAATTAATCTTCATATTAGCTTAAGCAAAATATGATTAGGATGATAAGTCTACACAGAAGAAGGCATTGCATATTTCAAAGCTAAATACAAATGATTTCTAAGTTGCATGCTGTTTTGGATAGTCCTATTACGTCTTTGCCTTATTAGCAATGATTAATTATGATTCTGTAATTTTAACCTTGACTTGATGCTGTAATTTTAACTTTGACTAACAGCATTGCAGTTTAAAATGTTCATAATTTATTAGATAGGCATATCTTTAAAATAGCATTATCACATATATTACTCGTGACTGATTTTATTTATTTATTTGAGATGGAGTCTCGCTGTGTTGCTTAGGCTAGAGTGCAGTAGCACGATCTCAGCTTGCTGCAACCTCCACCTCCTGGATTCTAGTGATTCTTGTGCCTCAGCCTCCCAAGTAGCTCAGATTACAGGTGCACGCCACCATGCCCAACTAATTTTTGTATTTTTAGTAGAGATGAGGTTTCACCATGTTGATCATGCTGGTCTTGAACTCCTCACCTCAAGTGATCTGCCCACCTCAGGCTCCCAAAGTGCTAGGATTATGGGTGTGAGCCACTGTGCCCAGCCCTGTCTGATTTTAAATTGGTGATAAAACAGCTGCTATGATTATTTTGTTATTGTAGATTTTGACATGAAGCTAGAAAATAAAAGTCCCAAGAAAACTATTATATGTATTTTAAATGAATAGAATGAAAACTGTGTTTGCCGATAGCAATTTAAAGTACAGTCTGGTGTTTTGTAGTATTTCGTCACAGAGTTAAGCGTGTGTTTGTTAAAAGTTTTCCATTCTGTTCATGTGTAAGTAGAAAGCCTAATCAATGTAAATGTGCATTTTGGGGTGACCTATTCATGGTTATGTCATAAAAATGCTTTTTACTGAACAAGATAATAAGTGCTTTATCAAAAGTCCGTGAAGGTGAGGTACTTTACATACAATTTAGAATTTAATTTAAACCTTGCAAAACCCCTATCAAATAATCATTGTTATCCCTATTTTACTGTGAGGATGTTGAAATTTTATAAAGTTAAGGATCTTACTTATAGTCGTGTAAGCAAGTTAGTGGAAGTTAATGGAATTAGAACCCAAATCTGACTCCAGAGCCCATGTGTATTTCACTGTGCCGTGTTTTTTTATCCTAATTTGTCAGTTTTGTGGATTATAGAGTCATTAAAAAGTTAGCTGATTTTTCAGCAAACTTGGTATGTGAAAATATTAGATTCATCAGCAGACAAATTTGTGATATTCTTTACTGTTATCAGTTGGATGATTCACCTGTTTTTAAAATGACATGACATTAAAAATATTACTGTTCTAAAATCCAGTTTTTCACTCAACATTTTAGGAATACTTGCATTGGAAGATTGTGTCAAGTGAGGCAAACCTATATTTTGGTATTCTGTATTCAACACCTACCTTATCAGTGCCTGTTTTCTGCCATGTTCTAGGTGTTAGGGATATAAGTGGCTTGCAAAATCAGACACAGTTTCTTTTGGCTCAGGTACTGGTATACCTGGGCTTCGAATCTTGGTTCCAACCCTTTATAACTATGTAATCCTGGGCAGGTTACTTATCCCTCTAAGTCTCCATTTCTTCATCAGTAAAAAGGAAAGAATAATAATACCTTTCTTAGAATTGTTTGAAGTTTAATTGAGAGAATGTATGTTCATAGCATGGTGTCTGGCATGTAGTAAAATGCTTAATAAATGTTACCTTTTATTATCACCCTAAAAGTGAGTAGCATTTGAACTATAAGAATTTTTTTTTTTTTTTTTTTTTTTTTTGAGATGGAGAGTCTTGCTCTGTCACCTAGGCTGGAGTGCAGTGGTACGATCTCGGCTCACTGCAACTTCTGTCTCCTCATTCAAGCGATCCTCTCGCCTCAGCCTCTCAAGTAGCTGAGATTGCAGGTGTATGCCACAATGCGTGGCTAATTGAAGTAATTTTCTTTAAAAAAAAAAAAAGACAAACTGAATAAGCTGATTCAGTAACATCATCTTCAGTCTAGCATGGTAGTCATCTTCCTTGAATTATTTGAAAATTATTTTTCATTTGTTTCATTTGTTCATTTGTTCTGTATACCACCATATATACATTTAAAAAATACAGTGAAAGCCATACGCTTTTCATAGTTTAAGGATGGTGCTAGAGTCACTGCGTGGGATAATTCCAAATGTAAGAGATATATGTTTGGCTCATGGCAACTATAGTAACCTACTTTTTTATTACCTTTCTTTTGAAAAAGAGTTACTTTGCGATTTGTTTTTTGGAACAATATTTACTTATGAGAAAAATTTTGAGAAAGAAATTCTTCAGTGACTGCTAACAAAAATACTATGAAGTCTTCACTCTGACTTATAATTGACATTTTTTATGATTTCTTGAGTTTCTTGAATAGAAAGTATTTCTAAAATGTTTAGAAAATACTAATATTAAAATATAGATATTTTCTATATACTTAGATCACAATATTTAGACACTTGAATATATAAATGCAAGTATAAGTAATTTGAAATTTTAAAAGGTAATTTATAAAAAGTTACAAGGGTGGTCAGTCTAGTCAGATTTCCTTTTAGATTACTAAATTGTTTTAGAATATTGTGACTTATCAGAAGTGTGAGGAGGAATTAAATGTGTCCAGATACAATTTCTAAAAGATGCTACATAAAAATGAATCTGATAGCTTTAGTGGTTTCTATCAATAATAACTTAAAGTAGTTAAATTCTACTTTCTGATTTGATGAACAACCTTATTTGTAATGGTTCTAAGGAGATCTGTTCAGCTATATCTCCTGTAAAGAGATATGTCACGGTTATTTTTATTCTCTGTAATGAATCTTGTTAGAGAAAATCTTGCTCTGACATTAAATCACTACCTTTTTTTCATTACCAAGGTCCAAATGCCAAAGAAAAGTCAACTCATAAGTTGGAGAGGCATATAAACAGTTCAATTATAGTGGCTATTAAAATAAACTTTACAATTCTTGTTTTTATATTTTTGCTCAGTCTTGATTAAGCTGTTTTAAAGTATGTAAAAAATGTTTTAGGAGAAATCTGTTTTTCTTAGCATACATAAAAATATTGTGTAGCTGATGTGGAATTTGGTTTTTAAATGTGATTTTTTTTTGAAGGAATTTTTTGTAGAATAGATTTTAAAAGGTTTATTTTAGTATATACAGCCAACTTTTACATTACATTAGACTTTGTAACTTGAAGTCAGTTATAGTTCTGGAAATGAAGATTAGCTTTACTTATTGTAAGTTTTTATGAATAATTGAACTTTTGGCATATATGCTAATTTATGTAACCTCAGTCAAGATTTTCAGACATCTTCTTGAGACTTATTAAAATTAAGATTTAGTTACCAGATCTAATGGTTTAATTTTAAAGGAGCAAATTTATAAATATAATTTATTCGTAGAAGTCAAAGAACAAGTGAAATTATTTAGCTGTCCTTTGCCGGGGGAAAATGCACCCATTTAAAGTTAAGTTTGTAGATTACTTCATTGAAATGGCCATACATAAAACTTAATTTTTAAAAATAATTTTTTGTTTGGTATAAAGTAATGTTAACTCATTGAGACTGAGATTTAGCATCCAAAAAGGCATTGAAAACAATTAAAATTCTTTCATAAGAATAATGTTTAGTGATGTTCATTTAATATTTTTGAGCTTGAAAAATAGATACTTAGGGTGATTGTGAAAATGAACTCCGTTATTATTCTAATAACACATACTCTATGAAACTAAGTTATCCATGCTTTGTGGGAACTTAGCCTGCAAAGAATTGAATTTGTTGTCACTTCCAAGACCAGCCAGGGTTACTATAGCCTGCGGGTTGACTACATCAATGCATAATTTTGTGCAAAATCATCAAGTGGTACTGTTTGCTTTTAAAGTGAGTTGTAACTTTTTATTATAATCATTAATACAATCAAAGAAGGTAGCAGTGCTTTTATTTACTTTTTATTGTCATCAAGCAGTTTTCTAGGAATTTTCAGCAAAATATTAATCCAGCTATAATTCTAGTATGAAACACAGGAACTGTGAATGTAAGCTTTTGGTGCCTGCTATGAAAAATCAAATCAGTAACTTTAATGCCTTCTTACAGTCTCTTTTTGTTTCACTACAGCTCTGTTTTAGTTAGATCTGCACATCTGTTTTTCTCCAGGTGGTTAATTTTACCAGCTCAGTTTCTTTGTAGGTTTTTGCCATAGTAGAAAGGATTTTAAATCTTAGTAGCCCCTTAAAATATTTTATTACCATTTCCTTAAATAAACAATCGATAATGTACATGCTTTGTTTTTTGTGCAAATACCCAAGACATTCTGACTGAAAGACAGCTTAGGGACAAATAAACAAATAGCAAAAGCATTCAGTCTTTATTTACAGTATATAGAAGGTTACTGTTTTCATTTTAGGTGAGAGAGTCTGATCAGCAGGAACACCCCAGAGGAAGGACATCTTTAGCGATAGAATTTACATACCGTTAGCTCACAGTAATTGATTAGTAGCAGGGCTCTGTAGTACAGAGCTAGCTGGGCACGTTATTTGGGATGCCTTTGATGCTGTAGTTTTCCGAAGCTTGCTGGCTGCATGCTTGTTGCCTTTGTTCGTGACACAGGTAATTACTTGATAAAATGAAGTGCATCGCTGTGAACAATTGACCCTTTGGAACAATCCAGGCTGGTCAGCAGTCTAAAACCGCACTTTAAAGCCATCATGATAGCCTCAAACTTAAGAGTTTCCAAGGTACAGACAAAGGTGTTGTCTTCCTTTAGTACAAGTCGAGTGCCATTTTCAGACTTTATGAAGTATTTAAATTGGATGATATTTGACGATATTGAAAACTCCTCTGGAAATCCATCCAGCCTGCTTTTGGACACCAGAACAATGCGAGACTTTATTTTTGAGATGAAATCAGGAGCATTACAGAAGATTCTCAGTCCTTGTGAACGATCGTGGTTATCTGTTATTTCCAAGAAAGTAGTCTCTCTGGGTGTTAGCTGTTCTTTCTCCCACCTGGATTTCACTTCCTCTGCCAGTCCCTTGAGCTGAAAGAATTCTGCTTCTTGTGCAAGAAGTTGATTTTCTCGAAACCCTTCGGGCAATAGAAGTTCTCCATTTCGTAGGAAGTTTAGGACATGCCTGAAGAGGAGCCCATCCCTGTCTATGAAATAATGACCATCAGCATCAAACGGGCAGAGGATTTTTCCATTTACTATACCTTCAAGGAAAGTGTCTGGGTATTTGGTCAGTGTTTGTTTTTGAGTAATATATAAATATCCACCAACGTTGAGGGTCATCAGTGTGGATTTGCAGTTCTTTCCTTGATCAGCATCTTCCAGGCTGTTGTGTTTCCCTTCATACTCCTTTTCTTTTTCTCTTCTGTTTATTTTACGCTCCATTTTTTGAAGATACTATTTCGGCTTGTTCTTCTTGGCTTTGAGATTTTTTAAAAAGAAACACTACCACACAAGCACGCCTTTATTCAGCCCCAGCCTGGTGATGGAATGGAAATGCTGGCAGCATCGCCTGCGCTGTCAGCTCAGTTTTGCAGTAGGTGGCGTATCAGCCTATGTATGCAGGAGCTTTCTGGAGTAAGACGGAAAAGAGAATTTGCATTTAACTGTATCAGGGAAGGGATTTGTTTTGAAAGGATTTTCATGTCTATGCTTTGAATAATAAGAGTTACTCAGAGTAAATTGAATTTCCTTGTTAGTTAAACAGATCCAAATGTGGATCTTCTTCAGCCCGATGTGAATTTTTAACTATTCATAAATGCCTAAGTTATTTTTTAATCAGGCAGCTTAATGTTGAATAATATTGTCATCTTTCAGAAAATAATGTATATTGATTTAGTGTCATCTTTTTAAAGTAAATATGAGTAGGAAACGTAAGATGAAAATTTTAGGTATATAGAATTGTTTCCCGGAAAAAGTCACACATTTCACAACGGTGTAGTCATTTTTGAGACACAAATAAGAATACTTAACATGCTACTTGTGACACTGCACTTGAATTTAATTGGATTTGCTTGTGATTCTGATTTGGAGATCTTTGTTAAAGGATGTTAAGAAAATTTTTTTATTATTGATTTTATTTTTACCCTAAAAGTAAAAAAAAAAGAATCAAATAGGCTTTACGGTAATCACTTACTTTTTTTGGTTAAGATTTTCTGTGGAAAATGCATGAACTTGTTTCACTTGAAGCCTGCTTTTGTGCTGAACAAAGACTAGGACAAGTGTAGAAAATACTGTAACTGTGTATATGCATGTGCACAAATGCTATAGGAAGATCGGAGAGCAATGTAGATTCAGAATACCTGTTACAAAATAGTGTCATGGATAAGTTAGTTTGTTCCTGTTTGTTTGTTTCCCGGTGGACAAAAGAAACCACCAAAGCCTAACCTTGTTTTTCAACTTGGGAGCTGGAACAGTGTGAGTGATGTTACCCCCTACTCCCCACCTCTTTTTCCTCTATACCTTGTAACTTCCCTTCCAAAGCAATTTAGGGTTCTGAGCTTTCAATTCTACCATTTAAAGGCTCAGTGGTAGGAAATGTGAACATTGTCCTCAGTACTATTATTTGGCCTATCTGCTAAATTATTCTGAGGAACTACATTGTTTTTTGTTTTTTGTTTTTTTATATTTTTTGTAGAGACAAATTTTTGTCGTGTTGCCCAGACTGGTCTCAAACTGCTGGAATCAAGGGATCTGCCCACCTCAGCTTCCCAAAGCACTGAAATTACAGGCACAAGCTGCTGTGCTGGGTCATGCTGTTAAAAGTTAGACTTTAGTTTATATTTCTCTTGCATCAAAAGTATTTTAAATTATTTAACTGTATGTTGACATAGAAGTATTGGAAGAGATTCTTCTAAAATGCATACTTTTTATTTTCTTTAAACAATATGAGATTTTCAGATGTAAAAAATTATATTCTTAAAGTGATCTTGATGTTAACATTTATGTATCATTGAGATTATCAAAAGTTCATTGAAATCGAACTAGAAGACTAAGGCATCATGCTTTTAGAGCTGTGTTTTTGCTTAGAGACTGTGAAATTCGACTTCCTCATTTTACCAAAGATAAAATTGCATTCCAGAGAAATTTTAGTGTTTTATCTAGGACTTTACAGAAAAGCCAACGTTTTAACTAAAACTTCCTTTCAGTCCTGCAGCACTTACGACCTACCTACTCTTATATTCTGACAATCTCATGTATGTCTTGATTTTGCTTTTTTAGATTGTCATTTCTGTCAATACAGCTTTTTAAGAAATACTGAATAGATTTTGAGGGAAAAGGGATACAACTTTGGAAGTATATTCATGAAATTCTTATGTTATCATTACAGATAGTCATGGCACATGAGTAGCATCATATAATAGCAAAATCAAAAAGGCATAACAATTTCATTTACAGGTATAGTTCTCTTTTTTTGGAACTTTATAGGATACCAGAATTAGTGCAATGTAACGGTAGTATAGTGATGGAGACTGTGCTAGCAAGTTCTTGCTTGTTTAAATCAAGTGACGTGGATGGATACTATGTACTCTGGGTCTGCTTCCTTACACTCTATTTGGCCTGGCTATAGATGTCGTCATGGGGAAAGCCCAATACTACTGCTTTTGGAGGATGGGCTTTCATGGGTTGATGAGAGGGCAGGAGTGAGGCAGGACTGCTGGAAGTGGGACTGTTGACCTCTTCAGTCATCACTCCAGGGCCAACTTACACTTCCTAACTCAAAGGAAGATTTTGTCTGCCTTTGCAGGCAGAAAGATAAAATATTTTGAAAGGTTGGGGTCCTGTTTCCTACTCGGTATGTCTGGTTTCTGCTGCCAGCTTTTCAGAACCACTGATGACTGCTCCTTGTTTCTGCAGGCTTGTCTGAGCAGACCCTGAACCATTCCATCTTGTGCCTCTTCTCCTTGATTGCCTTTTCTCACTCTAGACTTCACTCTGGTGTTCTTGGCTTTTCTAAAGTTGACATGCATGATTTCTTTGCCACCGTGGACGGGCAATGGTAGTGTAACTGAAGCCTTGTCTTAGTGCCTGGCTAATACAAATGTATAGGACTTTTGTGTCCTCTTTGCCACAATTTGCAGACTTAAGAAAGAAAAATGGAGGCCGGGCATGTTGGCTCACGACTGTAATCCCACCATTTTGGGAGGCTAAGGCGGGCAGGTTATTGGAAGCCAGGAGTTTGAGACCAGCCTGGCCAACACAGGGAAACCCCTTGTCTACCAAAAATTTAAAAAACAATTAGCTGGGTGCATTGGTGTATGCCTGTAGTGCCAGCTACTTGGGAGGCTGAGGCAGGAGAATTGCCTGAGCCCGAGAGGTGGAGGTTGCAATGAGTCCAGATAGCCCTGCTGCCCTCCAGCCTGGGCAACACAGTAAGACCCTGTTTCCAAAAAAAAAAAAAAAAAAATGGCATCCAGTAGGCATCCAGTATCCCTGTTACTCCATATTACCTCCAGTAAATCATGATGACTGCAATTCATGGAAATTACAGGAGTTCGTTGATCTTTTCTGCCTGTGGTGGTACACATGCACCTTAGGAGAAAGCCAGATTACCTCTTTTTAGTCTATTCTAAATTTATATGTACTTGCTAGGGGGTGGGGAGTGAGTGTTGCTTGTCTGAGATAGTATCAGTAAGGTATCCACAGCCCTAAAACTATTAAAAATGGTGTTTCAGTACTTGTACCAAGGGAGACATCCCTGGATCATGGGACTGTGTTTCTCTGCTTCATTGTAGATACAAACTGGAATTACTCAGTGGTTTCAACAGAAGGATTTAAACCACACATGTCAAAAATTAGCTCTGCCTTTACAGGCAAAAATTTAAAAAAAATTTGAAAGATTGGGGTCCTGTTTCCTACTCAGTACCTTAACTCTTTATTAGACCTTGATCACCTCTGTCTTAGACATCTTTAATCATATATAACTAACTTTGAGAATTAAAACTGGTCCTTGGTATGAGTATATCCTATAATTAATTGGGTCCAATGCCTAACTAAATTCTGGCAGAACCTTCCACTATGAGATAATGCTAATGTCCTACCATCTGCATAAGGCAGAACTCATTCCAGGCCAGTAGCAGGAATTCCCATCTTTTCTACCAACTCCTTTTGGGAAATGACGTCTTTGTCATCCCGTGATTGATGCAGGACATCATTGTAGTATATACACTTCCTCCATTTATATGTCAGAGATATTCCCATGCCATGGAAGGAAGTAGAATCTTACCAGGAGAGTTTCTCTCCTGATTCGAAGATACAAAAGGTGTGATAATTCTAGACTTAACAGGTTACTCCTCTGTGAAATTCAAACACTCTTCAAGGAAAAGGGAGGTCTTAGAAGCTGCTTTTGTTAAGAACAAGGAGCTTCTGTCTCCACATTCTCCTCTTCTATCAAATCTTGCTTGTTGTCAGCTGCATGCCTCTATGCTTGTCTTTTAAAAGGATTTTGTTCGCATTACCCTAGAAAGAAAGTAAAAGCTAGAGAAGCTGCTGTCAATTTTTTATTTAAACCTGACGCTATGTCTCTGCCTTGGACTTCTCCACATTTTTTGGTTTATTGTGTTTTGACCTTCCTCTGCCTTTCCCAAGCTGAGGTTTTTTTTTTTTAAACACGTGCTTGCTTCTTCATAGCTTCCTGTCAATAGCATTGAATGTAAGCAGCATTCATTTTGATTCAGCTATGAATATTTTGTGTAGGCTTCTTTTATGTGTTAAAAATAAATTATACTGTCTAATATAGTGACATATTTTAAGAATCAAGATTTTCTCATGTTAATGTAATTCTTTTTAAATGTCCAAATTTTAGTTATGTTCCAAAATATTTAATTTATCTGCTTTAAATGTTGTCTGAGACTGGTATTGTACTAATAAAAGTACTGTGGCTGCCACTTTATATAACTGATTGACCACAGCATCTTACAAACTGTGCAGAGTGCTTGAACCTTCTTAGGACTAACAGGACATAACCTCAGACCAGAAGGTCGTGTGAACATGTCATTCTAGTACAAAGAATACAGCTGTAAGTATTTTGCAGCGTTGAACTGTGTCTTCAAGGAAGCCCGGGAAAACTGTCTACATTGGCAAATGTTTTAGCCTCATTTGAGGAGTGTAGAAAAAAATAAGGCACTATGTGTTAAAAGGAGTATAAATAAAAACAATAGACTAGTGCAGAGGTTCAGGTGAAATTCCATTCCACATTTCTTTGATTTTTCACTATAGAGGTAATCTTGGCAATTTGTGAATTACATTAATTCATGTTTTAAATGTACTTTGGGAAATGAGTATTTCAGGGAAACCTGTGTTTTATAATTTTGTAAACAGAAGTTATACCTTTTTTAAAATGAAGCTTTTTTTTTGAAATATGACCTATGCATTATTATTTACTGGAAAATTGTAACAAGATGAGCACAGCACTTCTATAAGGCATCAAATGAACATTAAAATTATAATATTGTACAGAACTCATAGTGCTATTTGGCAGAATGCAATTTTACTTTCTCTTTGGGAAAAAGATATTTTAAGCTAATAACCATTATCTACAATCTCAAAATGAGGGGCATAACTTTGAAAACCCTTGTAAAGGTACTACAGTTATGAAGTAGGTGAATAAAGAGGGTCTCTGTTGCCAGAGGCGAGCCTCTGCCACTTTCCTTCTCTTTCTTCAGCACTTAACATCCTCTGGTGTCTTCAGGGATGAGATGGTGTGGAGGAGAGAGAAGAGGGCCTGAACAGAACAGGATATGATGGCTCAAGGGAGCAAATATGATTTCTTACAGAGTAGGGAGAAGTTGTAAATTAGGGTTGGAGAACTCTATAATATCACACATTTTTTTTTTTATATTTACCATTTTTGTAACTGAGGTACATTTTAACATCATCAGCTTGTCAAAGTTTAGTGATAGTATTTTGTCTTGGTGGTACATAAAATAATGGTTTATATTACAAATGATAGCATCTTTGTTGTTGTCGTTGTTGTTGTTTTAACTGAAACAGAGTCTCGCTCTGTCACCAGGCTGAAGTGCAGTGTCACGATCCCGGCTCACTGCAACTTCCGTTTTCCAGTTTCAAGCAATTCTCCTGCCTCAGCCTCCAGAGTAGCTGGGACAACAGGCACGCACCACCACACCCGGCTAATTTTTTGTACTTCTAGTAGAGATGGGGTTTCACCATGTTGGCCAGGATGGTCTCGATCTCTTGACCTCGTGATCCACCCGCCTCAACCTCCCAAACTGCTGGGATTACAGGCATGAGCCACCGCGCCCAGCGATAGCATCTTACAGTTGATAAAATATTTGAATAGCTGTGTGAGCTATTCCCTCCATATAACAAGAAAGTAAAATTAACAGACCGGGAGGAGGGAAAGAGTTTTGCAGGAAGATAGAGGAGATAGAGGGAGAGACAAAACAGTGTGACTGTTTGATATTAAAATTAGGCAAATTATTTTATAACTTTTATAAAATTAAATTTTATTTCTTGATACAAGGTCTTACTCTGTCACCCAGGCTGGAGTGTAGTGATATTATCACAGCTCACTGCAACCTCAACCTCCTGGGCTCAGGTGATCCTCCTGCCTTAGTCTCCTGTGTAGCTGGGGGCCATGGGCATGTGCCTCACACCTGGCTAATTTTTTAATTTTTTTGTGGAGACTGGGTCTCACTTTGTTGCCCAGGCTAGGCTCAAGCTATCCTCGAGTATCAGCCTCCTAAAGGGTTAGGATTACAGGCGTGAGCCATCATGCACAGCAGAATTCCTGAAGATCAAATAGAGATTGGAACATCACTTCACAATTTGAATAAAGACCAGATTTTTAATGATACAGGGATAGAAGGTCTGCCTAACTGGTTTGTTAAGATGCTGGTATCTTTTATTAATAGACCTCACCTGAGAACCACAGACAAAAACACTTCTAGGAACATATTTTAAATGAGAAAAATGGAGACTACTAGGAATATTAAAAATGGTTTACCTTTTAAATGTACCTCCTTCTTGAAAAGATTATTTCTTCAGTCTTTTCCCAGAGTGTGTCGACACAGATATGATATAATTAAGAGTTAGAGAGTAACTTTGAAGTCTGGAGCATCAGCCTGAAATGTTGGTTAGTAGTCCTCTGGTCTGTGTTTTTACAGGAGTTGGAAGTCCTCTTAAAGCCTCCACATTCAACTGGATCCAGAAGGTCTTGTGGAAATGAATGCGTGTTAACTTCCTGATGCCTAAGACTTCCTGACATACCTGATTTCATTACTTACATTCCAGTGCTAATAAGCAGTGTTGCTGCTTACTTTAACTTGGTGAAACTAGGGATGCCTTTGAAAAAAAAGTGCCAGTATCATTTCTCCTCAGTTCTTTGATGTAGAGTATATCTCAAGTTCAGATATAGGGTAGGACAGTCCAGCAGAGAGCACAAGATTAAATATTTTCAAGCCTTTGGCAGCTTCTTAACATTTTGTTGTTGTTCTCTTTTTACTCAAAGAAAATTTAATTATATCTATGTCTTTCGGAAAGTACTAGAGCAAACAAAATGAACACTAATGAAATAATAAAACATCCTCAGTTGGAGAGGAAGGCTAGAGTTTTTATTTAGTGAAAGAAGAGATCTCAGACATTCTAGTAATGTCATTATTATAGATGCTGAGGCCCAGAGATATAAAATAACTTCTCCAGAGTAACACTGCTGTTTAGTGACAGAATCATAACGCGAAGCCTTCAGTTCTTTTTATAGGACATGCTTTAATATACTTAACCTTTAAAATTTTCTCTCGAGTTTTTTCTGATTTTAGGTGGTGGGATATACATAAGTAAATTACTGTCATCAAAGATGTCTGTTCATACTCAGTAAGATTCTTTTGGTTGCAAGTAGCAGAAACCAGTCAACAAACCAATCTAGCCAATAAAGGGGTGTGGAGGAGAACTTAGAAAGGAACTCAGACTATTTCCCAGAATTTAAAGAAGAGCAAATGGCCAAAAATAAGAATTGAGCCATTCCAAAGCCTTTGGTGGGATGAGTTTGTGTGGCTTCTCTGCAGAGTACTGGCAAGACCATTTCCTTCTAGTAATTTGTGGTGTAAGCCCCTTAGTTGAACATTTCAAGTACAGCAATGAGCAAGCACAGACACATACCAGAAGCCATTGCTAATGCCATTCCCACCACCTTCAGCATCTTCCTTATCCCCACCCACCCCAGTCTAAGTCCCCCCCATTTTTCAAGGTCCAGCACAGTCATTTCTTTCTCTTCAAAACTTCTTGGCTGGGCCCTCATGCCTGTAAATCTAGCATTTTGGGAAGCCAAGGCAAGTGGATCACCTGAGGTCAGGAGTGTAAGACCAGCCTGGCCAACATGGTGAAACCCTGTCTCCACTAAAAATACAAAAATTAGCCTGACGCAGTGGCACGTACCTGTAATCCCAGCTGCTCAGGAGGTTGAGGCAGAAGAATCACTTGAATCCAGGAGGTGGAGGTTGCAGTGAGCAAAGATCGTGCCACTGCACTTCGGCCTGGACAGCAACAGAAGCTTAAAAAAAAAAAAAACCACTTCTTGATCCCTAGCTCGACATAATTTCAGAGAGAGAGAGAGAGAGAGAGAGAGAGAGAGAGAGAATGGAGAGTATGTGTGTTTAATCCCAGTACTCTGTGTATGTCTTTGTTTTATAACGTTTAACATACTCAACTTGACAGAAGAATCTCACAGCTCATGTGGAATAACTAGTAATTGGTCAGTTAAATTAAAAGATGGGAAATCATAAAAATGATACCAATATGCAGTTCCTACCTGCCTTAAACATTATATCTTAAACTTTATTAATACACATTTAGTTGGCTGGGCACACTGGCTCATACCTGTAATCTCAACACTTTGGAAGGCTGAGGTGGGCAGATCACATGAGGTCAAGGTCACCATGGTGAAACCCTGACTGTACTAAAAATACAAAAATTAGCTGGGCATGGTGGTGTATGCCTGTAATCCCAGCTACTCAGGTGGCTGAGGCATGAGAATCGCTTGAAGCCAGGAGGCGGAGGTTTTGGTGAGTCAAGATTGCACCACCACTGCACTCCAGCCTGGGTGACAGAGTGAGACTTCATCTCAGAAAATAAATAAAATAAATGTACATTTAGTTGCTGACATAGATGTAGGATAAGGCCTTTGCTTTGAATATAGGATACTGACTGACCATCTGCTTTCTTTGTTTTTCAAAAATTAAACCCATCATTTAGTTTTCAAATTCTTTTTTGAGACAGAGTCTCCCTCTGTCGCCCAGGCAGGAATGCAGTGGTGTGATCTCAGCTCACTGCAACCTCAACCTCCCAGTTTCAAACAAAGCCTCCCAAATAGCTAGGACTGCAGTCACGCACCACCATGCCCAGGTTTGTTTATTTGTTTGTTTGTATTTTTAGTAGAGACAGGGATTCCCTGTGTTGTCTGGGTTGGTCTGAAACTCCTGACCTCAAATGATCAGCCCTCCTTGGCCTCCCAAAGTTCTGAGATTACAGGCGTGAGCCACCGCACCTGGCTCCATCATTTAGTTTAGATTTTCATTTTGGTTTCTTTGAAAAGTAGCAAGAACTTAGACATTGTGAAACTATCTAAATGCAGACTCTTTCTAGACTTCTTTGCCTCCCTTCCAGTCTCCAGTTGTCTCACCTATACGTACCTAATTTGACAGTATTGTGTTACAGCTTACTTTATATCATCTTACCAAAGCATTCTATGTAGTCTTTATAGAAACACCCCCCAAATGCCCTCCTATACTCGTAATTGGCTTATGTAATATATAATCAAATTACATAATTATTAAAACTAATATAAACAAGTTCTAGCATAGTTTGAGCAGAAGTGTGTGGGAGTGCTAGAGATTAACCTATTACCCACTAGTGTATGGTGAGCTGTGGGCATCTGTGGCTATGTTAAATAGCAGGCAGGGACTTGAAAGCCTTTGTTAATCTAGAAGTGAGTTAAGTACAGGTGTATTAAAAGTGCTTCTGCTGTAGTAAAATGATTTATATGCCTGTCTTATCATCCTGTGAGACCAGCACTCAAATGTGGTCTGGGAACTGCTGTGCAGAGGGGTGCCCGAGATCCTTTCAAGGGATTAATGATGTCAAGACCATTTTTATAATTATGCTAATGGCTTTTTCATTTTTTTCACTCTCATTCTCTAGAAATGTCTTAGTTTCTAATATGGTAGATATCGGCAGTTAAAACGTATAAACAGTTCTTCTGGGGTTGTCTATACTTTTTTCCTTTTAAAAATGTTTAAATTTAGGTTTTCAAAAAATTTATTTTTTAATTGACAAGTACAATTTGTGCATATTTATGTTACATAATATGATGTTTTGATATATGTATATGTGTGGAATGGCTAAATCAAGCTGTTCCCATCTATACTTTTTAACTAATACATGCCACAGAACGTTTGAGAAAGTCTCTGCTCCTTGAGTGTAGCAGCTGTGTTTCATTTGTTGTTTCTGATGTACTCTTGCATTATCTTTACATAGTAGGCACTCAGTAAATATTGAATAAATGTATGAAAATAAAAAAAATAATTTTTCAAGTATTTATGGTCTTTTAAACTGGGCCAACAAACTAGTTTTAAGTAAAGGTTTCTGTATTAATGAATGGGATAAATAATTAACAGCAGTAATGTGCAAGTGGGTGCTTTTAAATACTTTGAAAATAAAATTTAATACCTTTCCTTTGAAATCTTAAGCAGTGTTTTGAAGAAGACAAGAAGTGTGGTTTTGTGGAAAGAATATGAAAATGTGTTTCTATGAGGCTTTAAAAAGAGAGCAGGCAAATCATGCCTAGGGGGCTGCATCAGGAGTAAATTGGCCTTTTAAAAATTTATTTAAGAAGAGAAGGGGAGAAAGGCAGTCAACAGAGATGTCAGGTTACTTAAGAACATCCAGTGGGTGGGAAAATTCATTGCTGATGAAGACCTTTTTTTTTCACTTCGAGTACCATTTGAAAACTATTTTAGGTTTGAAAAGGAAGATATGTTAGATAGAAAATTATGGTTTGAGGAAGCGTTGCTCTATGTGAGTGACCTTGATTGAAGAATAGTGAGGAGAGTGGTAGCCAAGTCGAAATGTTGAGTTGCTGTGGACCTGATTTCTACCTTTGAGCTGTCAAATGGAGATGGTTGATAGCAGAAACCTTTTACTGAAAATTCAGCTTGTCCACCTAGAGTAGTACTTCTAAAGAAGGTGGGGAGTGTTCACTTATTAAAAGGTAGCTATAGGCTGGACGCGGTGGCTCACGCCTGTAATCCCAGTACTTTAGGAGGCTGAGGCAGGCGGATCACCTTAGGTCGGGAGTTTGAGACCAGTCTGACCAACATGGAGAAACCCAGTCTCTACTAAAAATACTAAATTAGCCAGGTGGGGTTACACATGCCTGTAATCCGAGCTACTCGGGAGGCTGAGGCAGGAGAATTGCTTGAACCCAGGAGGCAGAGGTTGCGGTGAGCTGAGATAGTGCCATTGTACTCCAGTTTGGGCAATGAGAACGAAACTCCCTCTCAAAAATAATAAAAATTTTAAAAAAGGTAGCTATATTAATCAATTTTCACACTGCTATAAAGAAATGTCTGAGATTAAGTGGTTTATAAAAGAAAGAGGTTTAATAGACTCACAGTTTTCCATACCTGAGGAAGCCTCAGGAAACTTACCTTCATGGTGGAAAGTGAAGGGGAAGCAGGCGCCAAGGTGGCAGGAAGGAGAAGTGAGAGCAAAGGAAAAAGCTGCCAGTGAGAACTCACTCATTATCATGAGAACAACATAGGGGAAACTGCCGCCATAATCTAGTCGCCTCCCTCCCTTGATACATGAGGATTACAATTTGAGATGAGATTTGGGTGGGCACACAGAGCCAGATCATATCAGTAGCTCTTTGAGTTTCAGTGATGTGTGACTGAATTATTTATTTGCAGGAATAGTAGTCTAGATTTTTATTTTTATTTTTTATTTTTGTGTTTTTTTGGGATGGAGTCTTGCTCTGGCACCAGGCTGGAGTGCAGTGGCACGAGAAAGTCTATGCTCCTTGAGGGTAGGAGCTATGTTTCACTTGTTTCTGATGTACTCTTGCATTGTCTTTTACATAGAAGGCACTCAGTAAATACTTAATAAATGTATGAAAATAAACGGAATAATTTTTCAAGTAT